GTGTGTGTGTGTGTGTGTGTGTGTGTGTGTATAGAATAACCATTGTGAAAAAAATAGTCGAATTCCAAGTGCTTTCGTGATTTGTCACATTATCAAGGAACTATAAAAATACCAGATTAGCAGGATGGCATATAAGGACGAGACTACACCTGGCGGCCACCTCACAACACCTGACTTTTTATAATGATGTAGACAGATAGTCAGGGATCCGTGAAACACACCTTATATTCTACCCAAAAATTTAGTTTTTCTAATTTATCTTAAATTCTTCACAAATTTTATTAATTATAAATGAATCCAATTTATATAACCCAATAGTAATATTCATATTATTTTCAAAACTACTTTTTATGAGATTTGATTCTGTTATATTATAGTCCCCTCTCCGGGGGGGGGGACATGGACCTGCTCCGCATGGGTCAGTAGGCCTGTTGCAGTGTTTCTTCTTTCTTATGTTCTTATGTTCTTATATTTCTCTCAACCAATGAAATTACTAGATACCTTCTCAGGCTTTTGAAAATCACTTGGGTGGTTAAAATCTCTCACATGTATAAACAGAGCATTACAATATTGTCCACTTCTAATGCATATATTTATGGTGTTTTAATCTTAGTTCAAGACTTTTACCAGTTTGACCGTAATATATGGAGTTTAATCACAATTTGGCTTTAGAACACATAGAGGTACCCATCATGCAATAAATATTATTTTCGATACTGTAGCAAGTCTAAAACATCAGGGCAATCTTGCCTTAATTGCCACCAGAGATGTTCATAAAGCTTTTGATAGCTTATGGCATGATGGTCTTATATACAAACTTATTGACCTACCAGACCATAACTGGACCTTTCTCAGATTAATATATAACTTCTTAACTCAAAGAAAAATCATTCCTACCTTTCACAGCAGGTCGACAGAGCCTTTTATACCGACAGCTGGTGTCCCACAAGGTTCTTGTCTTAGTCCAATTCTATTCAACATTTATGTGAATGACCTTCCTCAACCAGAGTTTAATGATACAATTATAACGCAGTTTGCAGATGATGTTATCCATGTCGTCTCGTCAACTCCGGTAACAGGAAAATACAAGTATGAGAGAGTCATAGAAAAAATGAATATTGAACTTCGTCGAACATCTAACTGGGAAAAGAAATGGAGAATTACGACTAATCCTGACAAAGTCCTTGTTAGCACGATAGGATGTTTTGCATCAACAATTAAAGATAAAGGGGATATCTCCATCAGAGGTACACCTGTAGCCATTAGAAACCCTAACAAGATCTTGGGATATGAAATAGACAGGCTGCTCCACTCAACATCTCATGTAAATAAAAAGATCAACATAGCCAAAGCCGGTCTTAGTAGTCTCTTTAGATTTAATAAAGCCCCACCACATGTCAAAAAACATCTGTATAAAATGATAATAAGACCTATACTCGAATACCCTTGTGTCCCAATGACATTAACAACAAAGACCAACATGCTACGGTTGCAACGGGTCCAGAATAGAGCTCTCCGCTTCATTAAGAGTACCAGGAGAAGAGACAGGGTTAAAATGGCAGATTTACACGTACAACAAGAGATTACTGCCTTAAATGTAAGCCTTGACACCCTGAAAAAGAAACAACTCTATACAATGCAAAAACTCTACATGCCAGATAGAGAACATCCTCTCCAAGTTATAAATACCACGGATAATATCATCAATACTCCTCCTCACAGGACTCAAAGAATGACTCTCCCACAGAGGGTCCGTCGTTTTATCCATAAAGATGATTACCATCGACCAATGATCTTGAGCAACCTCCCTGCAGATGAAGATGATTGGGTACCACCAGAACCCATCTATGTTTACTAAGAAAATCATCGCCTCCAATTAAGGAGACATCTTGTATAACATTCTACTGTTAAAATTATGCTACATTTACTATGGCGGGACACCACCTTGTAAGAAGCCCTTGTGTAAAGTAATTCTTTATAAACTGGCCAGAAAATTATTGCCTTCATTGTCATTTAAATATCCGTTGTGCAATCGAAAAAAAAAAGTAATTGCAACTTGTATAATTACTACCAATTCAGAGTCATTTACTTATATATCTGTTATATCTATGTGACTCTGATGGGTTAGTATTATACCTCTTCAAGAATATTTTATTATTCCACATACACTTTTTAAATTACAACAAAGTGGTTGGGCCACTTACCTTTTATATCCTACCTCTCACCCCCCTCCCATCCTTTTTGCAATATTTCTATCCTTACCCATCCTTCTTCCTCACCCATCTTACCAAAGCTCTGGTCATAAGAAGAAGAAGAACTTTATTACATATTTTACAAGGAATCTTGTAGACACACACACACACAGTCCTTGGTTCACCCAAAGGTGTAGGAAGGCAAAAACTAGGCGTACTAGAGAATGGAAAAGGTACAGAAGACAAAGAACTCAGGAAAATAAAGAGATTAGACAAAGAGCCAGAAACGAATATGCACAGATAAGAAGGGAGGAACAGCGACAATATGAAAATGACATAGCATCGAAAGTCAAGTCTGACCCGAAGCTGTTGTATAGCCATATCAGTCAAGGACCAGGTATTCAGACTGAGGAAGGGTGATGGGGAGTTCACAAGAAACGACCGAGAGGTATGTGAAGAGCTCAACACGAGATTTAAAGAAGTAAATACAGTGGAAACCAGTAGGACTCCAGGAAATCAGAACAGGGAGGTACACAAACAAGTGCTGGATGAGGTGCACATAACCAAGGAGATGAAGAAGCTGCTATGTGAACTTGATACCTCAAAGGCGGTGGGACCAGGCATCTCTCCGTGGGTACTCAGAGAGGGAGCAGAGATGCTGAGTGTGCCATTAACAAAGATCTTCAACACATCCATTGAAACTGGGCAACTCCCTGAGGTATGGAAAATGGCAAATGTAGTCCCAATTTTTAAAAAAGGAGACAGACATGAAGCATTAAACTACAAACCTGTATCACTAACGTATATAGTATGCAAAGTCATGGAGAAGATCATCAGGAGGAGAGTGGTGGAGCACCTGGAAAGAAACAAGTGTAAAATAGACAACCAGCACGGTTTCAGGGAAGGAAAATCCTGTGTCAAAAACCTACTGGGGTTTTATGACACGGAGACAGATGTAAGACAAGAGAGAGAGGGGTGGATAGACTGCATTTTCTTGGACTGCAAGAAGGCCTTCGACACAGTTCCTCACAAGATGTTACTGCAAAAGCAAGAGGATCAGGCACACATAACAGGAAAGGCACTGCAATGGATCAGAGAATACCTGACAGGGAGGCAACAGCGAGTAATGGTACGTGACAAGGTGCCAGAGTGGGCGCCTGTCACAAGCGGGGTTCCACAGGGGTCAGTCCTAGGACCTGTGCTGTTTTTGGCATATGTGAATGACATAACAGAAGGGAGAGACTCAGAAGTGTCCTTGTTTGCAGATGATGTGAAGTTAATGAGAAGAATCAAATCGGTCGAGGATTACGCAGGACTACAAAGAATCCTGGACAGGCTACAAGCCTGGTCCAGTAACTGGCTCCTTGAATTTACCCCTGCCAAATGCAAAGTCATGAAGATTGGGGAAGGGCAAAGAAGACCGCAAACACAGTATAGTCTAGGTGGCCAAAGACTGCAAACCTCACTCAAGGGAAAAAGATCAGGGGGTGAGTATAACACCGAGCACATCTCCTGAGGCGCACATCAATCAAATTCCTGCAGCATACGGGCGCCTGGCAAACCTAAGGGTAGCGTTCCGATACCTCAGTAAGGAATCGTTCAAGACTCTGTACACCATTTACGTCAGGCCCATACTGGAGTATGCAGCACCAGTTTGGAATCCACACCTGGTCAAGCACGTCAAGAAATTAGAGAAAAAGTAAAGGTTTGCAACAAGACTAGTCCCAGAGCTAAGGAGATTGTCCTACGAAGAAAGGTTGAGGGAAATCGGCCTGACGACACTGGAGGACAGGATGGTAAGGGGAGACATGATAACGACATATAAAATACTGCGCGGAATAGACAAGGTGGACAAAGACGGGATGTTCCAGAGATGGGACACAGAAGCAAGAGGTCACAATTGGAAGCTGAAGACTCAGACGAGTCAAAGGGATGTTAGGAAGTATCTCTTCAGTCATAGAGTTGGTAGAAAGTGGAATAGTCTAGCAAGTGATGTAGTGGAGGCAGGAACCATACATAGCTTTAAGACGAGGTATGATCATGCTCAGGGAGCAGAGAGAGAGAGAGAGAGAGAGAGGACCTAGTAGCGATCAGTGAAGAGGCAGGGCCAGGAGCTGAGTCTCGACCCCTGCAACCACAATTAGGTGAGTACATTTATGTCGTGCCGAATAGATATAACTTGCAATATTGGCATAAATGGTAACGCTTTTCATGCCGAATAAGGCAAGCGAAAATTTGTGTATGCAGTAATTTCGCAGAAATCATTCTGAACCTAACGAAAAAAAATGATTCATTGTATTTGTTCATTGTTAAATTATTGTAAACGTATCTAAATTATATTTAGTTGGATTAGGCTAAATTAAATTCCGCTTATTATAATAAGGTTAGGTAAGTTTTCTAAGGTTCTTTGGTACAAAATTATTAATTTTTGCATTAACATAAATAAAAAAATTATATCTTTAAACGTATAAGAATTTTTTTAGGAAGGACTTAATTTTAAATGAGTTTGAGGGGCTTTTCATATGTAACAGCCATATATATATATCGATTAGGCAGCGTAGAGGATTAACTAGCAAGGCCTAGCCTTGCTAGCTAGCTTCTAGGTTCCCACAGTCAAAAGTCTCTTGGTTAAGTTCTCCATTAACAGCAGCTTTAACCTCCTTATGTGGGCTCTTCTGGCCACCTCGGCTAGTGTGTTTACTTATCTAGTTGTGGTTGCAGGGGTCGATTCACAGCTCCTGGCCCCGTATATGTATGTGTGATTATGTGCGTGTATGTAGTGTGCCATTGCGGCACAATCTCTTCTATTGACTCTGTGTCATATAATACTTTATTTAACATTAATACAGTGGCTTTGACAGTAATATATCCTGTCAGTTAAAACATGCATTTTAACACAGGTAAATCCACTGAGTGTTTACCCCGAGTACTGTACCATGATGCGGTTGTTGACTGTCGTAGTGGTGGTGTTGGCTGGGCCGCTGCACCTCGTCACTGCCCATAAGATGGAACTGGGACTTTGTAAGTCCATGCCAGAGGTAGAGAACTTTGACCCAGACAAGGTAAGGCGTTCTTAATGTTATTGAAGTTTGATGTACAGTAATATGTTGTGTCTCCTTTTTGTTGTGTCTCCTTTTTGTGTTCTCTGAATGTTTTGACAAAAACAGTTAGAGATACATGTAAAGTAAAAGGACACAAGTGCAACTAATGTGACATTTATTGTGGCAACGTTTCGCTCTCCAGGAGCTTTATCAAGCCATTATGACTTGATAAAGCTCCTGGAGAGCGAAACGTTGCCACAATAAAATGTCACATTAGTTGCACTTGTGTCCTTTTACTTTACATATTGTCGGCAATTCTACCAACTTTATTACAGTCAGAGATACAAGCTTAGTTATGACTCCTAACTGTTTAAATTTTGCTCTCTTCACAGAAGCTTTTCGATTTCTTATCTGTTCAATGTATTAAAAAAAATCTGTCCATAACAGGTAATATGTTAACAGTATTGTGAGATATTGAGCATATTGCAAGATTTTATTATTTGAAATAAATAAGTATAATAAATAAAAAAGTCAATAAATGCAGTAAATTGTAATGAAAATTTTTATTTATTTCAAAAATATAAATTAGTAAATTAAAAAAAAATAACATGAGCTCTGCGTCTCTCTCGATCCTGTATACCTGGAGTATACCTGGAGTATACCTGGAGTATACCTGGAGTATACCTGAAGTATACCTGGAGTATACCTGGAGTATACCTGGAGTATACCTCGAGTATACCTGGAGTATACCTGAAGTATACCTGGAGTATACCTGGAGTATACCTGGAGTATACCTGGAGTATACCTGGAGTATACCTGGAGTATACCTAGAGTATACCTGGAGTATACCTGGAGTATACCTGGAGTATACCTAGAGTATACCTGGAGTACACCTGGAGTATACCTAGAGTATACCTGGAGTATACCTGGAGTATACCTAGAGTATACCTGGAGTATACCTAGAGTATACCTGGAGTATACCTGGAGTATACCTGGAGTATACCTAGAGTATACCTGGAGTATACCTGGAGTATACCTAGAGTATACCTGGAGTATACCTGGAGTATACCTGGAGTATACCTGGAGAAGGTTTTGGGGGTTAACGCCTCCGGGGCTTGGTCTGTAACCATGCCTCATAGTGGATCATTGCCTGATCAACCAGGTTGTTACTGTAGGCCGCACGCAAACTGACTTACGAACCACAGCCCGGCTGATCAGGTACTGACTTTAGATGCCTGTCCAGTGCCTTCTTGAAGACAGCCAGGAATCTATTGGTAATACCCCTTATGTATGCTGGGAGGCAATTGAACAGTCTTGGCCCCTCACAGCTACTGTGTTGTCTCTTATCGTGCTGGTGGCACCCCTGCTTTTCACTGAGGTAATGTTGCATCGCCTGCCGAGACTTATGCTTTCATTGGGAGTGATTTTCGTGTGCAAGTTTGGTACTAATCCCTCCAGGATTTTCAAAGTTTATTTAATCATCTCCCGCCTGCGTTCTAGGGAGTACATGTGAAGGAACTTCAAACATTCCCAGTAATTTAGGGGTTTTATCGTAGGTTCTCTGTACATTTTCTCGTTCAGCAATTTCACCTGCCTTGAAAGGTGGTGTTAGTGTGCAGTAATATTTCAGTCTAGATAGAACAAGCGACCTGAAGAGTGTCATCATGGGCTTGGCATTCCTAGTTTTGAAGGTTCTCATTATCCATTCTTTCATTTTTCTAGCAGATGTGATTGATATAATGTTGTGATCTTTGAAGGTGAGATTCTCTGACATAATCACTCCCAGGTCTTTTACATTAGTTTTTCACTCTATTGTGTGGCGATAATTTGTTTTATACTCAGATATAATTTTAATTTCTTCACATTTTCCATATTGGAGAACTTGAAAATTCTCATCGTTGAACTTCTTATTATTTTCTGCAGCCAATTCAAAGACTTGGTTGAGGTCCACCTGGAGTCTTGCAGTGTCTTCATGCAAATTCACGTGTCATCTGCAAAGGAAGACACAGTGCTGTGGCTTGCATTTTTGTTTATGACAGATATGAGGATGAGAAACAAGATGGGAGCGAGTACTGTGCCTAGTGGAACAGAGCTTTTCACAGTAGCCGCCTCAGACTTTACTCTGTTTACTATTACTCTTTGTGTTCTATTTGTGAGGAAATTATAGATCCATCTATCAACTTTTCCTGATATTCCTTTATCATGCATTTTGTGCACTATTACACCATGGTCACACTTGTCAAAGGCTTTTGCAAAGTCTGTGTATAATACATCTGCGTTTTGTTTGTCTTCTAGAGCATCCAGAACCTTGTCATAGTGGTCCAGTAACTTGGAAAGACAGGAGCGACCTGCTCTAAACCCATGTTGCCCTGGGTTGTGTAAGTGATAGCTATCTGGATGAGTGGCGATCTGGCTTCTTAGAACCCTTTCAAATATTTTTATGGCATGGGATGCTAGTGCTATCGGTCTGTAGTTCTTTGCAGTTGTTGTACTGCCCCTTTGTGGAGTGGGGTTATGTCTGTTGTTTTTAGTAACTGTGGGACGACCCCCGTGTCCATGCTCCCTCTACATAGAATGTTAAAAGCACATAATAGGGGTTTCATGAAGTTCTTGATGAACACGGAGTTGCACAAGTCTGGGCCTGGGGCAGAGTGCATAGGCGTATTATTTATCGCCTTTTCGATGTCATTTGGTCAGATAGGTTTGAATCTACCAAATTCTGAGTCTCGCTCATAAAAAAAATCATTCACAAATAACCCACGCATAGAAGAGAGGAGCTTCTATGTGCGGGTTTTTTGCTTCATATATATTGTTCTAGTCACGATATTGTGCGTTTTTTGTCACCGAAAAAAAAAACATTTATGATTTCGACTCTTAGTCTGGTCATATTGGAATTTTAGTGTTTCACTCACTTCTTTGCTGTCATCTGTGTAGGACCCATCTCGTTGGATAAGTACATGAGTGGGAGGGGTTGGATTTGAGTGGGACTTTCACATCAGAGCTTATTTCTTGGGTGGCATGAAAATTGGGTTGGGCAAATGTTTTGTTAGTGGATGAATTAAAGGGCCTGCCTAGTATGGGCCAGAAGGCCTCCTGCAGTGTTCCTCCTTTCTTATGTTCTTATGTTCTAAGTGGGGGCCCATACAGGATATTCTCTCGACTTAGGATTTGGCATAAGAAAATAATATTTTGATTTCTTTGAATTTATTTATATTTTAGCTCTTCGCGTTTCTGACTCCTGTAAGATCATCCTAAGTTCGATGTTTGGTATTTCTCTAACCATGCTCCTTCGATTACAGATATATGGCTCTTTTAGCGCTCTAATCTTTGCTTTGCCTGGTCACAAGTGCCCACTCTGACACCTCGCCACGTACCATGACTCGCTGCTGTCTTCCTGACAAGTGTTCCCTGATCCATTGTAGTGCCTTCCCTGTTATCCCTGCTTGGTCCTCCAGTTTTTGCACTAATCTCTTGTATGGAAATGTGTCAGACGCCTTCTTACAGTGCAAGAAAATGCTATGTACCCACCCCTCTCTCTCTTGCCTTACTGCTGTCACCCTGTCATAGAACTCCAGTAGGTTTGTGGCACAGAATTTCCCGTCCCTGAAACCATGTTGGCTGCTGTTGATGAAATCATTCCTTTCTAGGTGTTCCACCAATCTTCTCCTGATAATCGTCTCCATGACTTTGCATACTATACATGTCAGTGACACTGGTCTGTAGTTTATAATAATATAGTTAATAATAATATAATAATATCTTTATTTACTACAAGTACATGTATAAGGTATACAGTCCTAGCTGGCGTCAATGACATACTACTATATAGAAAGTCCCTTGTTATGCTGAGCATTTCCCGCAAATTAGGTCAATTTTGTCCCAGGATGCGACCCACACCAGTCGACTAACCCCCAGGTACCTATTTTTACTAATGGGTGAACATAACAGCTGGTGTAAGGATACACGACCAATGTTTCCACACTTGCCGGGAATTGAACCTGGACTCTCAGCATATGAAGCGAAAGCTTTTGCCATCAGGAGGTTTCCAAGTACCTATCGACGACGTTAAGCGAGTACATACTGTAATGTATGTACTCTGCATTTATTTACTTTCATATCGTATTTATTAAGCCTAGCTCTACTACACACTAAATATGTGAGATCGTAAACATGCTGTCAGGCATTTACGTGTATTTAAAAGTGAAAGAAAGGTAACTAAATTAACATTGATTTTCGCCATATAAACGGGGCCATCCTGTACTTTACGAAGTACAAGGTTTACTCTTTGTATTTCTTACCTTCATGCTCTGTTTTAACTGACTCGCATCATCTAGGGTCATTGAAGCTAAAACCTTAAAGTTACAATCTTGATCAGCAATACAGCCTTCATGACTCGCACTAAAAGATACGTAGTTTTCGGTCCAGGTTGATGCATAAGTAGAGTCCCACTCCAGCTGCCTCTCAGTCTTCCCTGGGGGAAATATGATCCCGTCCAGGTTGCTGGAAGGCAGATTAAGGCACTGGGTAGTAAAGATGGAGGTTCTCACAGCTGGGCACAAGGCAGTAACAAGGCTTCTCATGATGATCTGGTTGACTTTATTGTGTCTAACATACCAACTTCTAGCACTTCAGAAAGTATTAGTTGACTACACTTTACCACAAATATACTTACACTCAGAAGCCTACTGCAATACGTAATACGTAATGTCAGTTACTCACTTAAGAAGCATCACTCGTTTTTCCTAATCAGCAAGGCGAAAATTTACGCATGAAATATTTTATAGAAAATTAGTCTGAACTTAACGAAGAGAAAATGTATGTCATAGATATTTATTAATTCTGAACAAAATTAAAGAGAGTTAATTTAAGTTTGGTGTGACTAGGCTAAGGAAAATTACATTCAATATGGGAAGGTTAGATGAGAAACTAAATTTTTTTGACATCATTTCTAAATGTAAAAGATACATCAGTTAATTAAAATGAGGAAAAGTTTGAAAAAATATATATTTTTATAGCAGACC